TTAATATATATATTTTTTCTTTATAAATTTTCCAGAAAATAATTGTAAAAAATGGAGGAAATTTTATCATTTAACGCATCCTTTTAACAAGTTACTCAACGCAGTGCTGCCATCTCTTATCATATAAATTTCGAAATTAAAAAAAAAAAACAAACAAACAAATCAATATTTGACGTCAATCGATACGAATTAAGCACGTAATTTACGCGAGAAACTTATTCAATTTTAACTTCGAGACTCGAATATCACCCTGATGTAAACACACCTTAACCATTGTTTACATTATTTAGCATATCTTCTATACATCATTATTTTTGCTCCTTTTGTGGTGGGTTAGGAGTTTAAAATTCTATCTGCCTCATCGAGAAATCATTCGAGCTTGCCTCCAAAATTTGACAAGGCAATCTAAACATAAATTACTACAGCTACATGGATCACGGCACTTACAAATCGATTCATCCTTTCCAACACATAAAACACGAAGCTACACGTATAAATAGACTTTATATCTTCTCGTGGATGTATGTACACGTAACGTACGATCCCGACTCATCCACGTAACGTAAAACTGCGTCACACATCGGCAGTCGATCCACGTCATCGCCACGTAACGAGATCCGCATTATACGTCACAAAACTTAACTAGTGTTGTCTAGCCTTCATTAACGGGATCCATCTTACGCAAGCCTTTGATCTACGTTCTTTCCTATATACAAAAAGCTGTACAGATCAATTCGTAGGGTGAATTTTAGTGTGTTATACCCGAAAATTTAAAAAAAAAAAGAGGCTGTTCGTGTGTACAGTACATTGATTGGCGTCTGTAACTAGCTCTAAAGGGGGAGGAAGAAGTGAAAGTTAAGTATGTTTAATGTACAAATATTCCTGAGAGATGGATTAAAAAAACCAAGCTCGTCGCACAGTAAACACGTTAAACGTTTGGCTTTTATAAAGGTTTAATCCCTTTGTTGATTAATTCCAAATGTTCTTTAGCCTTAATTCTCAAGGCTACGATGCTGGAGTTTCTGCTATCTTCCGTCTTGTCACTACGTACCGATAAGTTGAGGGGTGCGGGAAAATAGTTGGTGTAGAGAGATTTCTGCTGGTTGAAATAACCGGGTAGAGACAATGTGGGGGATGTCCAGTTCTCTAAAAGATAGGGCTGAATGGAGCTACTGTGACAATGATTATTTAGGTTAATCGATCTCAATGACGTTTGACTGTCGAGTTTTTCTTGTCTCCTCCATTTAGCTCGACGATTCTGAAACCAAACCTAAAGAAATTATTATTTTTCAGTACATCGGAATGGTTAAATCGTGTGAGATTTGGCTTTTAGGCGCGGTAATTTTTAACGTAAAATTAATTTTTTTTACATTAGAAATTTAAATAATTTTTAAGAAAATTACTAAATTGTTGGCTAGATAAATATATATTTTTGATTCCTTTATTTAAGGTAGTAAACAACGTTTAAAACTAAGATAATTCTTGATGATCTTATCAATTTTTAATCATATGACCGGATTAAGTACTCTTCTAAAATATAGGCCTATATTATAAAAAAAAATTACTTTTTAATGAGAAATATATAAAAATTGTACATTTTTGCTTACCTGTACGCGAACTTCTGGTAAATTGACTTTAATAGCCAGCTCTTCTCTGCAGTAGACATCCGGATAGTGAGATTTCTCGAAAGCTCTTTCCAGTTCATGTAATTGGTAGGTAGTGAAGGTTGTTCTGTTCCTTCTGTGCTTTTTTTTGCCCATCTCCTCCTCGGATTTACTGTTCTTTGAACATTCTTGATTTGTCTTTCCATCTGCGTTAAAAAAATATATATATATATATGTCTGTAAAGCACAGTCCACAACGTTCTTCGTAGCAGATTTAATACAATGTATTGATAGATTGACACTATTATTAAATAAAAAAAAATTATTATTAAGTGAAATATTTATTATAAATTTTAGTTTTTTAACTGATAGATCGGGTTATTTTTCGATGAAAATTTTCTACATTTTTAAATATTTTATCTATTAACTATATATTACATTACTTAGCAATTTCTATACTTAATAACCAATTCTTACTATTAAAAGCATATTAAATAAAGATTTTTTAAAAAAATTTATATGTAAATCTTGTTTATTGTTTCTATAGATGACATTTTGAAGTATATATGCATATAAACAAAATTTAAATTTTTTCCAGGATGCACATCTTATATGAAATATTAGTGCATACAAGTATTCAAGAGAGAAAGCAAAATAATATAAATCATCATAATATTAAACAATGGTAAAAAAAAATAATTTTATTTTTTCATTCTTTGATTTATTGGAATTGAATATAAAGCAATTTATCATTCTAAATTGGTATATTTTTGCAGAGATAAGCAAATAATTCCTATCACGTAAACTTCTTTACCAACAGTTGAACGACCTGAAAGATATATATGATTGGTAATCCTTTCGTGGTTGGAATATCATTTCTTCCGGTTCGATATTGGAATTTTGAATTATCTTTTTAATTATTTTTAGTTAGGAAAATTCTTCAAATTCTACAAATTTTATTTTTCTTATTTAAGTTTTTTTTTTCTAATGGATGAACTGAGCAGTGAATGTTTGCATTTATTATTTAACTGTCTATAATATATTATTAAGAATCATTCAAAAATTTTATAAATTAACTTAATAATATATATGTTAATCCATTAATATTTTTTTTCTTTTCTTCCAAAACTTATAGAAAAGCTTCTACTCATATTTTTTAAATTAATTTAAAATAAATTTTCTCAATTTTTTGCTCTTAATATTAAAATAATTTTACTGTATTTAATTTATAATCATATTTTTAATATTTCTAAACAATTTATTAAAATTATTGAAATATATATATAAAAAAATTAATTGTAAAAGTATATATTAATCATATTTTATATCCTATAATTATAGTCCTCTATTCCTATAATTATAGGATATATTAATCAAATCATTAATTTATTTTTATAAATAGTAATTGTTTTTTTTATGAGAAAGTTACATTAACAATTATTTGTGATGATGATAAAAAAAAATGTGGGTAATAAATTTTTATAACCCATGTTACAAATAAATGTTATGTTCCATATAAAATTAATTATGAAAATTGAAGATTTTCCAACTTTTTTTTACTTCAGTATATTAAAAAATCCCTGATGAACGATGTCAAGTAAAAACATTAGAATTTTCTCCACTGAGAAATCGCCATATCTTTGTTGAAAAGAATGGAAAGTTAATTACTAGAACGGAGAAATTATGGTTTATCAATTAAGAGATCACGACTCCCCGCTTGGAGAATTCAAAATTAATATACTTAATCAAATTTCAGCTTTGGAATTTAATAAATATAATATCTAGATAAATTATAATTAAGATTATGAGATAAATTTAGAAGGGGTTTTGTAAATTATTTAAGATTTAAAAAAAATTAGAAGTTTTCCTAGTGTTAATATGAGAATAAAATTTGAAATCATTTTTACAGATAATAAATATTTAATTTAAAATCATATTTTTTTATATTAAATTAAAACANTTATTCTGTAGGCAATAACATATAAATGTTTATAATACTACACTATATATTTCTTATAAAAATTAATGGATCTTTCGAGGGGAATTTCGTAAACATTAAATATTTTAACTGCAGTTTATTAAAAGAAAAAGAAAGTTTACTGAGATGTAGAGCAAAAAGACAGACAAAAATTTTATTTAGTTTTATAAATTTGATTCGTGAATGTCATATTTTTAAAATTAGAAGTTTTCGGATGAGTATTATATAAATAATTCATATTATTTATAGACTATATTTGTTAAAACAAAAGTAATGCTGCAAATTAACGTCCATTTGATTTACTTATTGGACTGTACTTTTCAAACTGTAGATCTATAGATTCCTATTGTTATCCATTAATCTAGACAAAGGAGTTAGATTGATGAAAATCGAGACCAGATATGGAAAGTTTAGGGACCAGAAGCCCCGATTAAGTATATATGAACTTTTGATCTAAATCGGAAGTCAGATAATTTTTTAATTTAAAATATGATTTAAAATTTCAGCCCGGAATTGTAATAACATCACAATAACGAGAAATTATTTATTGTGACATCATCACAATACCGGGCTGTAGTTTTTAATCATATTTTTAATTTGTTTAATTTAAAATATGAACTCTCTGTTTCAAATTAGTAGTGGCTTGCCCCTGTACATCATACTTTTCCTTTAACAACAGAGTCGTGCCGGTCATCTATCTAGCACCTTTTACGGGAAAATTTTGAATTAAAATAACGTAATTTCTAGTTTTAACTGAAAGTTCTTATATTGTTAATCGGGATATTCTACCATATGGTTTCCATATCTGATCTCATCCTTCATCTGTCTAACTTTGTTCTCTTGATTAAGGAAGGACAGACGATGTCACAATACAGAATTGCTCGTTATAATCTTTATTATTTCAATTCAATTCAAAAATAATAAATGATTCATCGATAATCAAAATATGAAAATTGTAAATGAATACAAATATCAATTCAGTAGACCCCCCTATAACGCGTAGCTACGTTTCACGTTATACGAATTTCACGTTGTAGGAATCCTTAAATACGTGAGCCAATCACAGCCCGACACGTGTGAAGTTTACGGACTACGGCTGTTTGAAAGTTTTTCTTCCATAAAATTAATCGATTCTAGACTAATTCGACTCAATATTTCCAAAACACGTATAATTTTTTGGGAATAATCCGTATAAACTATGCTATAAACAAAAAATTGCAGGATTACTTACCGAGTGTGCACCGTTCGACGTCGCCATTGCTTAAGTTGTTTTCGTCGCGGAGCAGCGCACCAAACGGCGGCCGCGATTTCTGATAAGTTATTTTTCTGAGAAAAATTCGTTGACCTTTGGAGACATCATTAGTATAAATAATTTTTATGGTCGTTGAATAAGAAATGTTTCTTTCACAAGAAATGTATAAAATTACAGTACTGTAGTAGACTTACGGTACCTAATTTACATACTGTACAGACGATAATAAACTCAACTTACTAGCCTAAACTCTCCATAGCGTAGCGCTAGGCGGCGGAAAGCATATATATAATCATAATAAAGTTACAATAAATTAAGTTAATATATAATTATATATACAGTACCTAATTTATATATAATCAGTATATAATTATATGTACAGTACCTAATTTATATATAATACTGTACAGACGATAG